CATTGCCCTTTAACCCACATTGCCCTTTAAGTCATTGATGAGTAAAATTATCTGACGTCAAACAGATTAAAATAATAAAGTAGGGTAATATAATCAAGTAGCAATGGGTTAATACTCAAGAGTATCACTCGTTAGATGGAGTAAGATGATGCCCGATGTTGTAAGGACATTATATCTGACATTAAAGGCACAGTTCAGCCTTTTGAATGATGGTTTTTAAGGCACATTAACAACCTTTTTAATTGAAAAAAAAAACCTAGGAAAATCAATTTTAAAAGCACAATTCAATCAGTGAACTCGATGTTTTTTAACATTAAAAATGTTACAAAAATGTTAAAAACATTGAGATCACTGATCTTGAATTATGCTTAAATTGATTTTCATAGTTAGTTTTCGGTTGTAATGCCCCTTAAAAACCATCATTCAAAAGGCTGAACTGCACCTTTAAAGTTTGTCCTAGTTACTGCCTTCTTTGAATCAATATTTTTAAAATTTTAGTCTGAAGAACATTCCCATGCTGCTGCAAGAAACAACAAAGAAAGAGCAAAATTCTTTGATATGGTCAAGAGAAACAGAAATTTAGGAAAACCTGTAGTTAATAATGTGAGTTCATCTCCAACACCCGGACTTCTACAGCATCTTAATGTTACAAAAACGTGATTTAAAAATAAAGAATACCACTCTTGTTTGTTGCATCACAGTTGAAAAATCTTGATTGAGCACAAAGTAAGATTAAAAAAAATCCATTCCGACCATTTTTAGATTTCCTTACATATTTCACATATTAGAATACTTTTATATCAATATATTGCATTATAAATCAGTTCATAGTCTGTCAGGATAGGATGGTCTGGAAGCCTGGCAAACTTCAAAGCTGCAAAATAGAAGACGTTTGTTTGATGTTGAACTGTACCTCAACGTGCACAAATCCTTTGTCTCAACTTCATTAAATATTATTTATCGTGGTTGCACGTTTCATCTCAGCTATCCCTATTGGACGGTTGCTTCATTATATGAAAATACAATGAGCTCAGTCACTGTGACCCTGCACAAATTAACATAAACTCCGACAAAAACATAAGGCCAAAAAAAGTATGTGGGTTTCCAGTTTCCCGACCCTACCTAGCTTTTCGACACCAAAATCCCAACCCTAAACTTTTTATTGGATCATGCTTGTAAGTGTTTCCACTTGGAGAAAAACGTTTGAGGAAAATGGAAATTTGAGGCAATATTCGGGAAATTTATCTTTGGATGTGGAAGCACTGGCTAAACAAAATGGCGTCCGCTTGTTAGGAAAATTTTAAAAAAAAGTTTAAAAAAAAAGTTAAAATTGACCTACACTACCTAAGTTTTTATAAGAAGAAATAGGAACCCACATATTTTTTTGGCCTAACACAATGACTTATGTTCAGTTTCCAGACCATCATATCTTGATAGACTATGATCAGTTCACTTCTATCTAATATTAAATGATCATTAGAGCTCGAGAGAAATAACTGTTGAATTGCCATGAACCATCATTATTGGAGGTAAATCGTCTGCAAAGTGTAAAATATTGTTTTATGATATTGCTTATGGAACTCATTAATAATTCATGAGGAAAACACGAAAGAAATCATGAGCGTGAAGGAGTTTGTATATTTGATACAGAATCATGCTGATTCTGGACTGATTCATGGTCACACAAAAACAAGGTACATACGTGATTCTGGACAGATTCATGGTGATACATAAACAAGGTACATACGTGATTCTGGACAGATTCATGGTGATACATAAACAAGCTACATACCTGATAGAACAGACATTTGACGCATAAAATTATTATATAAATTTTCCAGTTCTGGAACTCGAGGTAGACTTGTGAAAATTACAGCTGAAATAAAACAAAATTACGGCAATTAAATGTACCGTACCGACTCACTGCAGGAACCACCAATCGTAAGGCAATTTTGTCGGCGATTTTGTGTTTCTGACGGATAAGAACTCGCACACAGAGTATACAGTCGCTCAAACAATTCTAAGGTCTGTTTCAAACGTCGCGCTTCTCATGGGCTGAACGCATTAGAAACAATAGATAATGAGGCATTTCAGCTGATTAGCTATTGTTCTTAATGCGTTCGGCACATGAGAAGCGCGACGTTTGAAACAGGCCTTAGGCCAAATATGTGGGTTTCCGGTTTCTTTGTATAAAAACTTAGGTAGGGTAGGTCGGTTTTAACTTTTTTTTTTAAACTTTTTTTTAATTTTCCGAACAAGCGGACGCCATTTTGTTTAGTCAGTGCTTCCACTTCCAAAGATAAATTTCCCTAATATTGCCTCAAATTTCAATTTTCCACAAACTTTTTCCTCTAAGTGGAAACGCTTACAAGCATGATCCAATAAAAAAGTTTAGGGTCGGGATTTCGACGTCCAAAAGCTAGGTAGGGTCGGGAAACCGGAAACCCACATATTTTTTTTTTTTTTGCCTTATAAGTCTTTTGCATGTCATGCATTCGATCACATGTTGTCAGGAGGAGAAATCTCGCCGACAGAATAGGTAGCTATGGTGTGAACCAGGCTTAACTCTAAGAATAGTCTATGAAGTCATTGCAAATCTCAGTAGGACTAATATTGAATAAAACCTACCAGCGTTTCCAGAGTGAAACTCTCATTAATTGATTTAGATGTTCATACCACTCTGTTGTACCAACTGTTGGCTAGACACAAACATGATAGCTAGTTAGTCGATAAACCAGGCAACATGCGTACCGTAAATATATCATTAAGCCTCCCTCTCAAATAAGCCCCCCTCTGTAATAAGTCCTTCTATAATGACCCCCCCCCCCCTTCCCTTAAACTTTTACAAGTGAGAGATATATACTATATTGATTAGATTTATTTGTCATCACATGTAAACTTGCACTATAGAAATCGTATTTACTGTAACCCCCTCTTTAATAACCCCCCTCTCCCACTCAAACATATTAATTAAAATGAATAGCCCGGATCGGAGCCGCTTACAAGACGATTGGCAGCAGTGTTCCCAAGGGTATAGCCGTCGTTGGCAGCAGTGTTCCCAAGGGTATATGTCGTCGCTGTCTGAAGAGGGGTGGAGTGGGGGTTTATCTCTTTTGAACAGGCAGAACCGAAATAAAAATATAGTTACCTGTTCCGACGAGAGTCCATCGGTGTCATGTACTATCTACAAAAAATACCAAATTATCCAGTATGAAATTAGAGTCACATGGCCACCGCAGCAGCCGCTCTCAAATTGTTACGGTAAAAGTGACGTTTTCAAACAATTTCGCTTCGCCTTGTGTGAACGGATAGAATTGGGACTTTTCTGCGCCGTTTTCAGACCGCCCCGGCGTACTGTAGTAATGCTGGACCAACAAGAAATGGCTCTTACTGGATGTCTAGGGAGAACAGTCTAGAACCGATAGAGTTATCCAGGATATATATATATATATAAAGTCAACCAAAAATGGATAAAAAAATTGGACGTTGCATACATGTACTTCACCAGGTATTCTAAGTTCATGAAGAAGACACTTTAAGCGATTCTTTTCCAACACTTCACTTTCATCACCTTGAAAAATATAGAAACACGGAGGTATCAAATTTTATTATATAGTAGAGAGTGAGATACTGAAAAATACACAGCGAGATATCTTTCATATCTTCACTAGTGAAGGTAATCGATCACGTTATCTTCTCGTGTTACGTACCATGAGCAATTGACATGAGTCTTATCTTGGTTCGACTTTCCCAAAATGATACCATATTCAAAATACAACTCAATTGTAGTATTAGTAAGTAAGTATGATCGCATATTCCTTCACCAGCTAAAAATAAAATATTTGAAATTCTATGCATATTCATTCGTGTCTGTGTTCTATCAGATACAATGAAATGAATATATCTGGAACCCTACCTTCAGATAAACTGCCTATATCTTTTTATTGAAACCAACTATGACCCCCCAGACACGCGTGTCTGGCCAGCATGGGGGCAAAACCGCGCGTGTTTATGCCTCGCAAAAGACTGGGACTGGCCTTCAGGTTTGGCTTCAAATTTCTGGTTGGAGGCAATCTCGTACCCGTTCGCAGGTTAGGTGTTGGACCTGCGAACGGGCATACTCTGGATACGAGATTCGGTTGGAGGTAGCGTTCCAGTTCAGATATACAAACTCGAGCCGAAGGGGAGATGTTGCAGGTCTGATACAACGAACGCGAATGCTGTGTATATACAGCTTGTGAAATGTAAGGATTTCATCAGTTGTGTGTCCAGAAATTATTCGAGGAAACATTTTATGCAACTTTAGCAGGAAAGCAGGAGCATTTTGTACATGTGGAATCAGGAAAATTGAAAAGGTCGGAATCATGGAAAATAGATTCGGAAAATAAAATTTCTTTTTTACGAGAACCCTAATTCTCCAAATATATAGTAACGATGAAATTTATGAAAATTTTAAATGTGCACCAAACTTGTTGCGACCATATTTGGGGAAATTTACACAGAAAGTCAGCCATGTTCAAAAGCGATCTGCTACTTACAATGTTCAATTGATTTCGCATTTACTGGCCACACGTCTAGAAAACAGGAAAAAAATATGACAATGCCCACATTATGAACAGATTCCGCTAGCTTGTACAGGGGCTGCAGAATTTAGGAAGCCATGGAGCAATGCTACACCTCCATGGACAGTGTAAAAACGCTCTGGTTAAGTAGTATCTTTGTTTGTTAATAGTATCGCCACAACTACGGTATACTAAATTAATACTTGTATGCAAATTCATTTTTCAAAATGTGAGTATATTTATTTTTTTCAACTTACCAATAAACGCCGGTTCCTTGATATTATTTTTGTTTAGCGAAGAAAAACTGAATACAATACAGAAAGTAAATGTTAGCGTTGCTGTACGTCTGCCTCGTAATTCGTAAAGGAATTTTGGGAGCGGGAAAATGCGAGCAGGTACTGAATATTAATGAGGAAAACTGCTAAACTATTTCAAGATATAGTCGGCAAAGTTTTTGATTTATTGCCAATATTGGTAGAATTTCGAGATTAAGGGAAGGTTAAAGACCCAAGAAAAATATGAGGTAACTCAACCATAATTAAAGACTATTTAATTAAAACAGTGAACTCTCTTAAACTAATTAGATAGATAGTTTACTAGAATTTTACATCGCAGCCTATAAGTATAAGTCAAAATAAAGCGAAACAAAAAGCGCGGGAAATTTCGTAATGCATTAAACAAGAGATTCTTACTTTCTTGCTATACAAACATTCTTTCCTAACAACATACTGTCCTGGAAATAACATAAATTATGAAATTTAAAGATATTTGAATATAAAAGCACAGCAAACGACTTTTAAACAAGGCAATAACAAAAAAGAATAAAAAAGAAAACGTTTTCTTGTTTGCACAAAAAAATCGACACAGCATTGCCATTGAAAATCTTCACAGGATTGATTTCCCAGCCTTTTATAGTGAAGATGAAATTCAAGGATTTCAGTTTTACCTTAATTACTCCAACATAATCAGCTACACGCATTGATTGTTCGCCCTGGCAAGAGATTGATACAAAACGTATAAAACAGGTTACGCAAATATAGATATCATGCATTTATTAATATCAAAATGGAGGATTCTGAAGAGGTCTATTAAACGACGAAACTAGTAAACCGGCAATTAATAATACGAGTGTCGAAAGGAATTTTTAGAACTTTTAGCATTTTAAACGTTTACCATTTTATTTTATGAACTGTGATGCTTAGCAAACCTTTCTTCGCTAAAATTCGCGAAGACGCGAAATTCAATAGGTCTCATTATCATACACTCACGCGCACTTAACCAATCACGAGTGTTTATTATGGTCACGTGCCAGCCCAACATTTTAGTGATTTACTGATTTTACGAATTACGCCATTGCCGGACAAGAACATATTGGACAGCTGTGAACCGTGGCTTTTCTCATGGTTTTTCAACCCTTTTCAGATGTTTTGTCAATTTCAAACATACGACAAGAGATATGGCAGAGTAATGAAAAGAATTTGGGACATTAATACAGGTTTTTCTACCAGTTTTGTTCAAAATTATAAAAGCGCGGGAAAACTTGTCTTCGCAAAATTCATTTGTTTGCAACAGCCTCGAGGTTAGTAATATTATTTTTTCGTTAAAATTAGGTCAAATTTCCTTTAAACATACATGGAATTGAGTTTATTTATACACACATATTTGTAAAAACAAGTTTATTAACTTTTTGTTTAGTTATTTAAGCAAACTCGCCGCCGATATAATATGTAGTAATGTTGTCGCTGTATTTATATATTCTCGCTGTATTACTTTTAATTAATATCCCTTATTGACAATTTTTAGTGTTCTAGAATTGTTTTGTTCGATATAATAAAACTCTTATTGAATTAATCTTCGCCCAATACGGCAAAATATTAAGTCTCGACCTAATATTTTGCCATATTGGGCTCAGAAGAATCCAATAAGATATATAATATGAGAGTTGGGTGAAAGCATACCATGTTGGGTGAAGGCATACCTTTTCTCTAAGCTTTGGTAGATTGACCATAATTTCATGATGTAATTGCTCTAAAAAGACATCATTTAGTAGTTTTAGAAAAATAATAGCGGTAGCAAACTTTTTCTTTAACTTTTTCTTGTTTGTTTTTTATTTTATTTCAACCGTACATCGAAACGTACATACGAGATCTATTCTAGACTCTAGAGGCGGGGTAAACTACGATACGGATGTGTGTTTCATAAAACAATAGCTCAGCATTGAAACAACAGTCACCTTTTTTCCTTCTTTCAAAGATGTTGTAAGCTCTATGCCAAACACCTTGACTGATCAGATCCTGCGGTTCTTGTTGGTCAAAATATCCTAGGAGTTAGGAAACGTATATAAGATCACTACCAGCATATAAATCGGACCTTAAACTTGGACTGAGTAGAGTTACTTCATTGAAATTCGGGAAATTCATGACGTTATCGTAAATTGACTCAATTTTCATATATATGAATACTCATAATGAGAATACTAAAATATATTGATGCAATACTGCTGTTGTTGTTGTTGTTGTTGTTGTTGTTGCTGTTGTTGCTGTTGTAGCTGTTGTTGCTGCTGTTGTTGCTGCTGTTGTTGTCGCTGTTGTTGTCGCTGTTGCTGTTGCTGTTGTTGTTGTTGTTGTTGTTGTTGTTGTTGTTGTTGTTGTTGTTGTTGTTGTTGTTGCTGCTGCTGCTGTTGTTGTTGTTGTTGCTGTTGTTGCTGCCGTTGTTGTTGTCGTCGACACACACCGACACGGCAGCGATTTCCTTTGTCTTTCCCTCATCAATTATTGAGTTTTTAAAGTGTGTTAGTTAATACGTTGTTATCATATATTATAATTACCTAAAATCACAGTGTTCGGTCTCATTCCTCCCAAACCAGACGACTAAACAAAACAGAAGAAGGAAAACAATGGTTGGTGCAAACGCCTTTCACCAACAAGAGAGCGAGCCTGCAGTTTTCGCATCCTAATCCAGAATAGAGACAGACAGAACGACTTCTTCGTTTTTCCTATGATTTTGGCCTAACCGTAATTCGTCATGATCAAAATGCCGATGCTATGGTCCTAGCCAGTGCGCTTATGAGAGGCATTCACCCCCCTGATAATGTTCAAAATGGTGGACGTCCACCTGCAACAAGAGTACAATAACAACTCGCATAAAAGAGTCTTTGACCCTGGGGACGAGTATATGAAAAGATTGAATAAATATTAGTTCAATGCAGATAAACGTTTTCATAAAAAATATAATGCCATCATGGTTTCGACAAGACAACTAGGCTGACCACAGTTTATAGTCTATAAACTGTGGGCTGACCAGGTTGTCTCAAAACCCACTCCGATTTCCTATTCCATATTTGAATTCAGGCCATTAAATTACGGTCATCTTACCATTAATAAGTTCTGTACCCCAACTCGTATTGAAGGCGCAACAATTTGATCAACAAACGCCTTGATTTCTGCGCATCGCACGAAGTTATACCAATGGTCAATTTCTTGATTGTGTCGAGTAATGGCCTGACAGGATAAATGATAATTTGTTAAATTCAAAAATAGACAATTAAGCCTAAGGGCCTGAATGTCCGGCCTGAATCGCCCGGTGAGGATGAACACTCAGAGTAACACCACAAACATCAAGTTTTGTATGTTTGCATATACCTGTCCATCAAACCGATCAACAATCACATTCCCAAGTATGTACAAACCACTCTAAAAAACAGAAGTCTTCCACTTAATTATCACGCCTATGGCATAGCGCACATTTACCGATTCTATACAAAGAGCTGGTCACAATTTGTAGTCTTGCCTCATTCTCTACAACTTTTACAGTTACCAAGAAAGAAATCACAAACACACTTCACTATTGACCGTACCTTCTTGATATCATTAACAAAGTCAATAAGTGGATAGCAAGAACGAGGATTGGATACCAACAGCAATATCTGCAAACATGAAAAAATTACGGTTAATAAATTTTTATTTGAGGATCTACTCACGCCATTAATAATTCACTAGAGGGCACCCAGAGCACAGAATAAAGATCCATACAGAAGGGCCACTTACGTCGGAAGCTTTGAAGTTTATGTCCTCGCGCATGTCGCATTACGCATGTTGGCCGCCATTTTCCTAGCCAGTCAATGACATTTTCTGGCCAATAAACACGCTGTACTGGCTGGCTGCTCCGCCTTCTGGCCAGTAAAATTGCTAACGTCATTCAAAAATCTAGCTTTTGAAAACAATGCCCTATATCTCATTATTTTATCCGGCGACTTATGTTCAAATTTTGCACACTGTATTGCATTACAAAAGTCTTTTATTATACCAAAAATAAAAAAAAAACTTTTGTAATGTCAAAAAATATTATTGAACAAATGACATTTTTGCTTTTTAAAGAAAACGACATAACAGAATTTTTTCAATTTTGCCTATTGCTTGTCTATTTTCTAAGAATACAGTAGTAAACACGGATTTAGCAAAATACCTGTGGTCTCCAGTACTTGACATGAATCTGTCTTGGGTCCAATCTTAACAAATACTTCCGAACCTAAATGAAGAAAAACATGATTTTTCAATGCCTCTTCCCTGCGCCACGAAACTACGCACAAATTTTCTGGCTTCAAAATTGGTGATTCAAAAGAAAACTCCATCCAGTCACAGTTTCAGATCAGTGAGAATGATCAGGAGACAACGCCTGCAAGGAAGTTCAAATACCTGATGATATATAACAGCTTGAGTGACGTCACCCCAGGGTGTTATCGGAGCACGATACACAATCACCAAGAACAAAATTATCATGATGGCTTAAAAAGAAAAGTTTGAAAAGATTAAGTAAGAGAATAAACCAGAAAGGGGTGATGTAAATTTTTTGTCATAACACTTGAAAAAAATAGTGAAATTCATACTATGAAATTTGCGATTGCATCACTAAATCTGAAACTAGATCCTGTTCCGAAATATCACATACTCGAACCGACCTGACCGCGTAGCTCAGTTGGCAGAGCATTGGGCTAGTATTCCAAAGGTCGTAGGTTCGATTTCCACCGTGGCCAGGCATATTTTTCAAGCTTGCCCGGTGTGGATATACACTCAGAGTAACAACACAAACATCATATTCACCTGAGTACACAACACCAACACAGAAAAAAAATATTAAAAAACCCCGCAAAAAACTGTCACAAAGATTGCTGACCAAAACGTGTTTTTTTTCTTCAATGTGCAGAAAATCAAGACTGAGCAAGCCTAATAAGCCATTTGCAAGCTTTAAATCCTGTCAAATTTTTCTCATTAAAAATCGACCTACCCACAGACACGAAAGCGTAAAGAGCGTTGACTGCAATCATAATGGCAAAACATGACAGCATTCCAATCAGTGCTAGAGAAAAATAAAACATACGCAAGTGTAAATTCAGGGATTGAACTGAGAAATCTGACTACGAGCAAGAAGACAGTGCCTTTCAAAAAACTTAGATTTCAGAAAATTAACTTCAACCTGCGCAGAGACTTTTTGTTTCTTTTTAGTTACTCGCAGGCGGGCTAGTCGCAGGCTAGAAGAAGCGGGCGCGCAGGGTGTGAATCCCAGGATGTCCCCTATTAACCCTGCACAATCGCTCGGTTCTAACCCGCCTGCCTGCGCCAGCCACTAAAAACATACACTAAGCCTTTGCGGAGGAGAGTGTCAAAAATCATCGTTTAAATGAGAAAAGGAGCTATATTATCAGTACCTGTTAATTTGGAATAGTACGGAAATGTTGGTCTAAAAATTAATAATTAAATAGTTGTAGCATATTTGGCAGGGTGGTTTAATATATGCAGGAGCAAGCGATAAATAGTACATAAAGTATGTAGGTGTGTGTATAAACTTGCTTACCTAAAGTTGGGCGCCGAAGAGACTTTGAGAACAAAACAAGCAAGATTGGTGACTCCATAAGACAAGAGGAAAAACATACTGACAATTGGAGCTAATGTATTCACTTTACTCACGAAAATCACAGCCTGTATTGAATAGAAGATAAAACAAACTGTTATTTATACAAGTAAGAATGGGCAAGTAAGAAGCATTTCAGCGTTACGGCCGTTTTCCACTTTAAGCGTACCGTACCGAATTTTTTAAATTTTAAAATTTAGTGAATGTTGATTGGTTAATACTTTCGTAGTACGCCAAAAAAAGTTGACTTGCGACGAACTTTTCATTTTGATATTAGGAATTTTTGGCATCTCACATCAGTGGGTATAACTAGTAACCCAATGAGCACCAGCGCTCTCCCCAAGTAAAATCTTGACAAGTAAAATCTTCTTGCGTCAGACAAAGTAAAATAGTCTGGCGTTCGATAGAGTAAAATTATATATAGTAAGGCGCAATGCGATTTAACGGGCTAAGCAGAATGTGGTATATATGCTCAATTGTTTATGGTATATACCCTCCCTACTCACTTGAACACATAACCCAGATACCAAAACGGCGAACACTGGTTCATTATTTCGACCAAAACCTCGACCTAAACGCGTGATAAACGACCCTAAAAGTAAAAGTAAAAGAAAAGTATTATTCTTCAAGAACATAAAGCTAAAACAAAATAATTTTGAGAGGAACGTCAAACGCTTTTCATCGCAAATACGTGACATAAAAGAACAAATAGATTCTCTTGAATAGTTTGAATACAAACCTAAAAGATTATCATTCGCAACAGCTTGAAGAATTCTTGATGCGCCTTAAAAAATCATTTCATTGATAATTAATTATTTATGTGCATGGGTGATATAAAGCAAAGCCTCCAAGTGAAGAAGAGACCCAACCATATACTAATATCTTACCAATTAAACAACTCAGCGAAGCAGAAAGAGTTGCTAAGAACACTCCAATAGTTGTCAAAACTGGGACTACATTTATAATCTAAAAAAATACAGTTGAATAAAAATTGACAATGATTGAATATTTTATATTTCACATTTACACAATTTATTTTCACATTCACATCAATCGTTGCTACATGAATTTAAAACTCAAACCTGTAAAAAGTTGTATTGGTTCACTAGCAAAGGTCTTGTACAAGTGCAACTTGCGAAGAACACTGAAATGACAAATGCATGGACCATTAATAGACTCAGGGCCATCGGAGCATGCGTTATCTGGCGAGAGCCGCTCCTGTGAAAAGAGCACTTTAATTATGTTTTAGGATAAGACTTAATTTGATATTAGCAAAAGTTCTGCTTGCTTTTCCAGGCAGAAACGAATTAGCCGATTGTATAATTTATGCATGATGTATAATTATGCATGATGTATAATTATGCATGATAGGTTAATTCGCTGGCGGAGGTCCGCAGTCTCCAAGTACCGTCTAGTTAAATATTAAATTTTAGAAACACATTAATAATTCATGAGGAAAAGACAGAGAAAATCACTACAGTCGGTGGTTTTATATATGTGATAAAAAATCATGTTCATTTACATAAACATTAGCTTTGCCTTTGATTTTCTCGGAATATATACAACGTTTATTGTTAAAATTACTTCACCAGTGAACTCATAAGATGGTTTTTTTAAGCCATTTTTAACTCGGCTGTCGCCTCGTGTTTTATATCTGATAAAGTACTCCTGCTTGTGTTTTAAATGGTATGTCATGTTAAGATCAGATTACCAAGGTTTCTGGACACCCTTGCCAGATTACGTAAGCCAGATTAGTTAAGCCAGATTAGCTAAGCCAGATTAGCTAAGCCAGATTAGCTAAGCCAGATTAGCTAAGCCAGATTAACTAAGCTGTTCACACAAACTGCTCACCTAACAGGAGGTATATAAGAAAAGTGAAGCCAGATGCTTCCAAAGTTCCTCGTGGGATTGATTTTGCTGGGTCCTTTAAATCGCCAGATATGTTCGCACCAGCTGCAACAGAATGGAGACAAACATTTAACAGTTATTCTGCGAACTCACGTCGTATATGAGCTGATAGCTTACCCATAATGCCAGTGACACCATTGAACAGAACGCCAAAAATGATTAAAATTGTCGGAACCTCTCCGGTTTGATAATCCACGGTTGGTTCTGTCTGATAAAAAAGATGATACGACCATTTAAAACTTTCTGTAGAAACACCACGTAAATTTATTACTGCAATTTGGTATTTTGACATCGATTTAAAGAATAACACTATGGTTTTATGAACTGGAATTAGCTGGGGAAAATGGTATAAAAGCTGTTTATGACCTTCAGAGCTATATAGACTCATTTCACTGACGTCACAAATCCTTAGAGGGTGTCTTCCAGATGCTCCCTAACAATATCTGTTCAGGTACAACAACCAAATACCGCGCAAAAATTAAACATTTTAATACAAAATTATCATAAAGTTTTACAAGATTTGCTTTGTTTACAAAAGTTATATTATGCATAGATTGCTAATTTATCCTCCAGATGCATCCTCCCCGGCGCTGTGACGTCATGCGCAATGGGTCTATTGGACGCTGATTGGACGTCGCCATCTTGGCATCGCTTTTCTCATAGGCCCATAGAAATAATAGAATGACTGAACTTCTCGCTCCAGATATATAGAGAGATCACGTCAGCAAAAGCGATGCCATCAAAATGTCGCTGCCCGCAGAAAAAACCGCCTGCCACGTAGGCTACCAAAATGTGAAAAAAAGATTTTTTCACTAAATCTTTTCATTAAATGTGTCAAATTCTCATTTTAAAGAACGTTTAAAATTATTTTTTAAATCTTATTACAGATTTTTCATATCTTGCTTGTTTCTTGAATTATTTTGACTGAAAACAATAAGCTGTCCGTCATCTTGGGTTTATAGGAACCCGAAACTCGTTTTTGATTGCTATTTCGATTGCTGTAACAAAATGTTACAGATAATTTTAAACGTTCTTTCAAATGAGGCAATAAAATATTTCATTGCCATTGTACGTTGCACGAAGTAGAATCAGGTTCTGCAACAAAAATGTTGCGAGACTTAATGATTGCGATGTATGTTACACCTTGCAATCTTTTGTAATGCATGTTAACCTTGAAATTGCGACACAAGTTGCAAGACAAGTTGCATAGGGTAACAGCGCCTTTAAGTTGTACCGCAAAAGTTGTAACTCGTCAACTGTGGATTAAGATATTCGTGATTCTTGAATGGAAAAAATAAAATGTACAATAATTACCCAAAGGTTGTCCTTGAACGTCGTCCAGTTGAAGCCCGTATACAAAAGATGAGGAGTGTGGTTCTGATGAGAAAATATAGATTCGAGTCACATGACAGCTATTTTTATAATATAGCATTTGTAAATTCTGAACGCTGATTGGCTAAGAGCCGTGTTGATATAACTCAATGTCAACACGGGAAATTTTCCGCCGCTTGTAAACACGGAAATTTTTCTAATCCTTCGGGCTATAATATAAAAAAAATATAAAACATTTTTTCCGTATTGATATATAGTTATCAACACTCGTGGAAGTTGGGAAAACTCGAAATTGTATGAAAACACTCCGCCCTTCGGGCGTCGTGCTTCCATACAATTTCTCGTTTTCCCAGTTCCACTCGTGTTGATATAACTGTATATCAACACGGAAAATGTTTTATATTTGTTAAATATCAAACGTATTGTCAACAGTTATCGACAGATTGTACCGATCAATGCAAGGAAATACCTTGAATTATTCACCTCCGCTTCGGTGAATAATTGTTAATTATTTACTATAGTTAAGTCGGTTTTCTTTTATGTACCACGGGATAAATACAGGTTAGAACCAGTGAATAAATAATTAGATTAAATTTGTCGAGAAAACCCGAAAAATCTTTATGGATAGTCTTTGAAATTGATGAAATCTTGTTCAAAAACCTCCTCAACTAGTAAATAAGTCGGTTAAAAACCTCGAACTTGGGATATAAGTCGTATATTTGCCCTCGGGCCCTGCGGCCCCTCGGGTCAATATATGACTTATATCCCGCGTTCTCGGTTTATACCGGTAATTCTTACATATAAAAGGAACTCCTGTTTTATATATTGTGTAATGAATATATTTCTTACCCCAAATAAAGTATTTTCAGCAGGAATTTCACTGAAGTATTTCTTTTTGTGAATAAAAAAACTTACCTAAATAAAAATAATACGCGTGTGAAATTCACGATATTTCCATGGAACTATACTAACAATTCGATATGTGGATAATTTGACTGATCTAAAATCTTATCTCATTATAAATATCCAGGCTTCAAAAGTTGGCTCGTTGAATTCAAGAAGATACTCCATCCAGTATTAGCTTTCATATCAGTGTTCAGCTATCACTCAAAGGCTTTTTTTAACAATTGTAAATTTTGTGAACTTACAAAGGAAGAACATAAAGAGATGATAACTCCAAGTAGAATGAAAAATGTTGTCTTGGCAAACATCCCTGGAGGAAACACACAAACAAAATAATAAGCACAAGTAGGTAAGTGCGCAATAATTCTCGTACTTACGTACCGGAGGTACGCCAATATTATTTTCTGAAACTTCTTTGTTTTCAGCCAGGTACCACGTAGGTACGCGGAAGTTTTGTTATCTGCGTATTTACTTATTGCCGGTACCATATGACCTTTCCTAGCCCAAGGTGTTCAATATGGTACCTTAGTTGGTATATGTGTAAGTCTGACATGTCTTGATATGAAACATGTTTGGACTGATGGACCCAAGAATGTTGGAGTCGATTGTTGGTATATGCAATTGTGCTTCTTATTCTAACTCGTAATTTGAATACCTTTCAGAAACTTGTATTTTAGATACTTTCGAGTATTGAGCAATATAGTCATTGGCGTACCAGGCAGGTACGATCAAAAATCTTAATGGGGTTAATCGTCCTTACTTATACAGCTCAGAGCTAAGCTGAATTACGAAGGACGCAGCCTTAACCTGATCGAGTTTAAGGCTTTCTAAGGGCCCCTCTTGCAGCCCGCTTATGACTCGTGTCTGATCATGGAACACAGCTACGGTGGTTAAGGGTTAATTCCAACCAGGTGAACCAACTCTTTCAACATTCCCTGTGGGAGGATACCAGAGTACGCGCAGAAAAACCCATCACTTTCGACAGAGGGTGGACTTGACTCTCTTCACACAAGTGTCATGAGTTTGCATATAATCAGGCATCAGTGAATGTTTTATCTTTATTGTATGTCAAACGAAGTTGTTTAAGACCAGCATGTTTAATATTGTACTGCATGTATGAAAAATAAACACATGCTGCTTGTTATTTATAGAGACCACATTACATGGTGTATAGTATAAAGAGTATATATTTCGGTGTTTATGCGAACTTTCTGCCACAAGGAACCAAAACATTCTCTGGACCATTCTGTTGCGGTGGGAAGGATACCACGTTTCGTGTTTAGTTTAGTTCTCACAAAGCTTCGTTGGTAGAACTACCCGGTAGGGCGATTACCAGTTGTTAATTCCAACAACTTGTTATCGTCTTGCAATTCAACAATCTGTTGTGACAACCTTGTATAGCAACTTGATAAAATAACATTGTTACTACAACTTGTTACAAGCCTGTTGCGAACACTGCAGGTTGTGAGATTTTTGCGTGTCTACACCATTGAACTATAAATAAACTGGAAGGCTAACTCAGAGTGGGGGATTGAAGCCAGTGCATTTTAGTTTTTCTGAGTCATGAGCAGAAATACTCAACACTGAACGTTGGGCTATATATCAAATTGAAGCTATTGAAAAACGCTATTTGGTGTAGAAATTTCAAGACTTTAGCTAAAAGGGAAATATTGAAAAACTACAAACATAATTACCGATAATTTGCCGTTTTGCAGTTGTTTTTGTATTTTTTAAATATTTTTCTTTCGCTGAAGTCTTGAAATTTCCACACCGAATAGCAATTTTCAATAGCTTCAATTTGATATATAGCCCGACGTTTGGGGTCAAGTATTTCTGCTCATAACTCAGAAAAACTATTTTGGCTTCATCAAATCATAGGCCTTCATCATAGCAGTTAGCATTCCAGTTTATTTATAGTTCAATGGTCTACACTGGCACCGACCGTTCGACATATTTTTTGAAACATTCTATACACTTACCTGCGCCCACAAGGCATATTAACAAGTTGAACAGCAAAGCCATTGACCGATAAAGAAAGCCATACCAATCTCCTGTGGGGATACCTATAAAGCAAAGTATAGAATTAAATTTATTGCTGAAAGGTTAAGAGACGCAGGTTTAATTGACGGCTCGTTGAAATCAGTCCCAACATTCTGGACCAACAACGTTCGATGATGTACCACAGCGCAGAAACGACCACAACGCTGCTTACACGAGGCAACCTTTGGTGCAAATTGAAACGCAATTATTTTTGACATACAGCCACGTTTTTACTAAAGATCTACGATTTTCAACAAAAAGAACTGATCATATCTAGGCAACCTAAATCCCCCTTCAATAAGTGTCTGCCACTATCTTAGGGTCGGCACGAAGCTCTAGGAAGATGTTCTGTGATTGGTTGATTATGACAATAACAACAGAACAAGCTATATAATGAATTTTCTAAATAACGAAGGAAGAACAATATTCCTTTTGTTCATGTAAGCCAATTACGTCTTTTGTCATTGTCATAATCAACCAGTCACAGAACATCTTCCTAGAGCTTCGTGTTTACTGCTATTTTAAACAAGTTTGTTTTGTTTGACAGATTTTTCTTGTCAGGAAATGACAAGTTTGAAATAGTACTAAGGGAATTAGCACTGCTCCAATTCAACTGGTTCTTTGCACACACACATATTAATTTTGGGCACATTATATATTCCGAGACCGAGTGCACATTAAAACTGACCAATGCCACATAAAATAACAGTAAAATAACAACAACGTATATATAAGAGCTACGTAGTACATTATACCAAATAACTAAAGTCAAGCGTTTATCCATGTAATGTCAATACAGTAATGTCATTATATCAGTTCTGTCCACTGAATGAAAAATAACTGGAACGCTATATTTGTAAAAACTGCACTAAAATTTTATCACCATACTTCTCTCAAAGTGCCTTAACTTTGGTAAAACAATGGAGCTTACACTTGCAATGTATCAATGTATTGCATAGTATTGTGCCTCATCGCCGGATCAATTTATCAAAGCCCATTTTCCACTGGACGAAATTTTTCACGCGAAGCAAATCGAAAAGCAACCTCAAATTTTAACGACAATATTCACGGAGATAAATTTGAAACTGATATTTTCTTATTTTCATATACTTTGCGTGAAAAGCTCCGCCTAGTGAACAGTGGGCTTTATACTTGACGCGGCAGGAGTTTATTTTATTTTATTTTACAATCTTTGTCACATGACCGGTTTAACCCACAGAGCTAGTTACTCCTTTAAAGGGTAACCTGCGATTTTATCCAATCTATAGACCCTGGTCAAACGAGGATCAGAAAAGTCGATGAGAGTTAACAGTCACGCATTGTTACAGGGACATTTCAAGCTCCAGATTAACAAAATAAGGTTTGATACCCGTTGTAACTATGTTTTAACTTAATTAAATAGAATCACGTAACTGCCAATTCTCATACACTCTCATCCTCATTTGATCAAGGCTTAAGTTAAAGAAATGGCTTAACATATGTTCTAAATGAAACATTTAGATATTATTTTGTGTACCTAAATTGGGTACAATCTTTGTTCCCTCGATATCTTAATGGGTACAGTCTAAGAACAACTATGCTACATGTCCTTTGAGTTCAATGGTTTGGTTTGACCACTGCAGTGGCGAATGCTCTTGGTTCAAACATGTCAGGCAAGTCTTGCCAAACTTGACGTTCTAAATCAAAACATTCCACAGAATTGAGATATTCGCTCCTCTCATTCTTTCCTCCCATAACCACAACAACATTGCCTGTTAAGACAGCTGTACAACCATATCGCTTCTCCTTCATATATGGCAATATTTGAGAATGGCCTGTTATGACATCATACATTACCACGGTACTCAAAGGACGTTTACCGTTGCCACCGATGACAAGCACGTTATTCTGCCATAAAACAGTCGCCATTTCTTTCACAGCATATGGCAATGGATGAATTTCTTTACATTCATTCTTGACAAGATCATACTGTACCACACTGGCTGTGGCCTCACATCGACTATCCTCCCCCCCAAGAATGAACAATTTCTGATCAAACATTTCCATGCCAAAATTAGATCTTGTTTGTTGTAATCTTTTCAAGATCTTACAGGAATATGGTGGAACCAACTGTACCTCATAAACAGCCAGCCCCGTGTCATTAGTTCTATTTACACATCGTGCAGAAATAAACAGCAAATCATTATGGATGACAACTTTAGGATTAGAGCATTCGACAGGAAAATTGACGGCGAAATCTTTCCATATGGGAGCTGGATCTGAAACATTCAAACATTTCATTGTGCTTATTTTACTGAATAGATCACCATCTCCAGCTACTACCATTTGACCTTGATAGAAGAACGAAGAACAGTGGCTACGACCTTCAAATACTGCAGAATCCACCAATGTCCAGGTTTGGTCAGCCCAATTGAAACACTCTGTAGATTCATTCTTCACAACAACGTTTCCATACCTCCTCTTGTGTACTCTTTTATACTCGTTGTGTTCTCCTCCAACAAGAAAGATATTTTCTCTCACATCTGAAGAACATGTCGCTTGTGATCTTTGATTTGAATTTTTCATTTCAACTTCGAGACCTTTTATTCCCGCTATTGCATCTCGCACTGCATTCATAACTATTTCTTTCATTTCACCTTTCATTCCTTTCATTTCATTTTTCATTTCCTCTTTCATTCCTTTCATTTCATTTTTCATTTCCACTTTCATTCCTTTCATTTCGTTTTCGATCATTCCTTTCATTTCATTCTTTATTTCCACTTTCATATCTCTCACTTCATTTTTTACTTCTTCTTTTACTTCACTCGATATTCTATCTTGCATCTGATCTTGATGAACTAAAACTTGATCGATCATTTCTTTCATTCCTTCTTTCATTTCATTCTTTATTTGATCTTGTTGAGCCAACATTTCATTTTTCATTTCTTTCACTTTGTTCTTGAGTTGACCACAGTCATGGCATTTCAATTTTCTAAAATCACATACATCAGTTTCATGGTGAAGCTTGTCGCTGGCATTCACGAGAACATTACATCCATCATTCGAACATTGCACGGGAGAGAATCCACAACTTGCAACGTGACGTTTGAGATTTTCAACTTGAACCATTTCAGGGCATCCTCTGGGGTAGAAATCACAATGAATATTCAGCTCAGATATATAATCATTGACAATCCTTGAAGCTGGCCTTAGTGTGTCAACACTGAGGTGTTCAAGACACGTCGGACAGGACGAGGAGTTTTCCAAATGCTTTTTCATACATGAAGAACAATAGTAGTGTTCATTCTTGCACATAACGGGATCTTTAAGAACCAGGAAACAAATGGGGCAGTGAAATCTTTGACTGACAACAATCTCGAAGCGATTGTCTTCATACCCAAGCTCGTAATCGTACTTACTGCACGCCATTATTTAGTCGTTTTATTCACCAAAAGTTCACCTCACAATCTCCAAGGTAAAAGCAACATAACTACAATGATTTACACTTCACATTGTCGATAACTAGAAGTTTTAAAGAGCAAACAAAGCTTTGTAATTCAACTTTCGTTTTGAGAGACGCCACAAATGAAACGTGATATGAATTTGCATGAGAAAATCTCGTGATGACAGGGTCATTTGAATTTCAAATTTGTATTTCAAAACTTGAGATAGTTAGAATTTTGAAATTTGTGATTGTGGAAGCGAGGATAAGTTTATGTGTATTGGAATAGTACAATTCATGGTAGTAAAAATTTCGAGAAATTGAGACGTATATTTGAAATATTCAAGTTGTTTTAAATAGTGGAAAAAATTTGAAAGATTTAAGAGTTTATACACAAAATCATCAACTGTGACAAAAATTTCAATGACCTCGATAATATTAGTGGAGTGATATAATAAATCTTCGAGCCGTGTACACGCCGACATTTCTGTATAACTGTATAAGTATAATTCTTGATCCACTCATTACAATGATAATAAGTAGATCAAGTCGTCAGCATAACTAAGATACGGATATTAGTATTTCTACTATTTACATTGTTGAACTATTTACATTGTTGTTAAATAAGGTCACGTTCAAGGTGCAGATAAAACACGGATCCGGAATTACGGAACTCCGGAAACGCGGAAGCGGAATGGGATAAAAGGTGGAAAAGGGGATAAAAGTGGTAAAATACTTGATCATTTGACATTTGAGCAACAAAGCATTTTCATATGTCGACTGGCCAATAATCGGTCAAGTCAGTAACTGAAGTGTGCAGGTATAATTCCGTTTTGACTGAAAATTATTTCAAACTTACCACCATCACCATGCGTTAATGCTCCAGTGTGACGTCCAAATGCACCAATAACAGCCTCGCTAAATCCTGACAAAGAAAAATCTCTCTGAGTCCTTTATAGTAATAAAACAAAGAGGTAAAATAAAAATCGAAAATTTCGAAAATCGCTTAGGTGATTATTTTGAGCGAATGTCTTACGCAAGTACATCTTCCCATGACAATTGCATTGCCTATCAGAATAATTAAGTTAATATGCTGTAACAACGCTAGCGAAAAGTATATATCAGACTGCTTTGTGGAGGAATAAGAAAGCAATTATTTGTGAAACTCAATAATTCATGAAGAAAGCACAATAGAAGCCATGAACGTGAAGGAGTTTGACATAAACTTCAAGTTCAATTTTCTCACCAAATATCATTTTAAATTGTTGAAGAATATGAATGTTCTCATCAAGGCATTTCACAAGTTGTTTACAACATTTGCGTCCATGTTGTATCGGATATACAAACTATCGGCTTGAGTTTGTATGTCCAATACAACACAGTCACTCATGTTTTAATTAAAATATCACTGAAAAACTTACCAATTAAATACAGGCCAGATGAGACGATATTGGCAACATAAAATATTACTCCAATTGAGCCACCAAATTCTGGTCCCAATGCTCGACTTATCATAACTGTACTTCATGTTAAGTTAAAATAGAGGTAAAGATATATAAAATAATGTAGGCTTCCGGTGTTTTTCAGCACGTTTAACCATGTCCTCAGTTTTGCAGGTTACTTCTGGTGAATTTTCTCAACCTGTTTATTATTTTTGCCATCCCAAAATTTTGTGTTTCTAGCATGACGTAATATTCCTCTGTGTCTGCAAGACCTGAATACCTTCAGGACTTTGTCTAGATGCCTAGCACAAGACAGAGAAAATAGTGGGTTGCATTAAAAACTTGCTATAAAAGGATACAGTACACACCACCTCCTTTCACATTTCCATTTGTTGATATTGCCGACACTGAGAGCGTGGTTAGTCCTGTCACAAAGTATGCCACAAATAACAGAGCACAGGACACAACAAACCCAACCTGAAAATTCCAAATAAATATTGATGGAAGAATAGCCAGATGACATTATCAACATGTAAAAGTGTTACCAATGCTACCAAATAATTTGTGTACTAACTTTAATTTTAGCCAAATGTATGTCACTTTATTATTTTCCTCTGATGATTTTACTTGTTAAGGGAAGAGCGGTAGCTCTCTATGGGTTAAAATTAACTTGACAGATCACTCTACATTTGAAGAATTGTTCCACTGATTGACAGAAAGGACAAGTAGCTCAAAACGTGTGACAGCCATGAGGTAATGGTATACTTGAAACTAAAACCTTACTGTTGCAACAGAACACATGTGAGCACAATGGACAAAGGCGTAATATTCAGGTTTACAATCTACCCACAACGCAGCCTCGACACCAAGCTGAAGCTTTGTATATGGTCCAATTTGTCGACACAAGAGACATGTTCATTCCTCTCATTCATATACCGTCGAGTTCCAAGTGTGATAGCTGTGAACATGACCACACTATTTCTTTCTGTCACTTTCATTTGATCTCATCCATGAGTTGGCCTCAATGGTCATCCGTGAGTCGGCCTCAATGGTCATCTGTGAGTCGGCCTCAACATTGGTCATCTGTGAGTCGGCCTCAATGGCCTTTAATCATCACTTCAGACAGTCCATTACTCGCAAAACATGTTAGAATCAAATTTAGTCAAAAATTTTATTAACCCACCTGGCCTATGACATATCCAATACGTTGGAACAGGATAATGCTAAACATTGACAGTGTACATGGAATAATGACACCAAAAAATGTTGACAATTGTCCATGTTGTTTTCTATCTGCAATGAATAGAGAATCATTCATTTATAATGTCATGAAATAACATTCACCTCAGTCTGTTATTAAAATTGGTAGTTTATGGCAGCGCTATAAGAAATACAATAAACCTTTACGTTTAGATTTGCCCTTATGCACCCTACTTATTAATTATTATTTAAATTGACACAATCTGACAGTAATGCCAGATGATCTTACTCTTCAAGGGGGGGGGGGGAGTGCTGCCACTCAATGAGTTAATCAGACTGCCCGCCATGCATCCTGTTAACCTTTTAAGTGGCAAAGACCGCAAAGTGCCCTGATGCACCCTACTTTATTATTTTACTTTGTCTAACGTGCACCAGACAATTTTACTTGTCAATTTTACTCATAATGATGATTAAATTCTTAATTGTGTAAACGGATTTAAGTAATTTTATTATTGATGATTTTATTAGATAATGATAGATAGATAATATGGTATTTTCCTAGATATTTCTAAAATCCAGCCAGATACTGGATAATCGGATTATATCTGGTGCATCTCTAGTTATGTCATATTTTCAAGCCAATTACAGTTCTCTGACTTCTTAGAATGACATGCTTTGTTTTTCAAAGACAATGGAAAAATCAAATAGCATGTAAATCTCTTTCTCACTAAAGGATGTCATCATCACATAGAAATATCAGTGTAATAGTGTACCACTCTCCATTTTCCCTTTGTTCCACCACGCTATGACATCACACTGTGTGTCTATTTATACACTATTACCGAATAGACAACAGCCTTAAATGTTGTCAATTTTCCTTCAATATTATTTCAAAAATTTGCTTTTAAAAATGGCCATTTACTCGCTGCAAAACGTCATCATGGGCAAATGAAAAACATCGGATTGGTTGGATCCATTCTATTAACCGTGGTTGGATATTTCATTACACCCGAACTCTCACGTGAGATATAAAATTGAAACCAATATTTGGCCAATACATTTGGACGTTTTTGAAGAGCTAGACCAAAACTGCTCATATTCTTACCTCGACTTCGAACGGTTAAAAGCGGTGTTTCTTCCCCAACGCTGTCCATTCCTACATTCGAAGAACTATCGTTAAATAAACCATCAGTATTTATTCTCTCGTTCGGACGGGACATTTCTTCCTTCTTTGAATTCTTGCGTATTTGTTCCAATGTTTCCCGTGGTTTTGACGTTTGTTTTTCTTCAGATCTTTAGGGTCCCACACCCCCCTGTCATCCCAAAACAAAATAAGTGCTTCCACTTTCTTCTATTTGCTTTCCATTGCGTTTCCGTATTTTTCATTTGTGTATTAATTAAGTGGAAGTTTGCCCATAGAAGCTGCCTCGTCCCCAGTCGCTTTCAAAGGGGGAGAGGAAACGAGAAAAAATCCTGTTGGGCGCGCGAAGAATAACGGGAAGGCGAAGGAAAGCCTTCGCTTCTCATATTTCAATATCCCGTCATGCATTGCCCGGCAACTTGTCACAGCCACTGATCTATATAGATCCAACGAATTGAAGGGCCTGCGGAGGAGTTAGTAGGCCTAATTTTCGCTGCCTGTAGAAAAACCGCCGAGTTTATTTCGTGATTGCGTGACATGAAAAGATAACCCCGAGAGTTGCTTATGCCGCTCTATAATATATATACTCTGCGTTAATAAACGGAGGGGCTTATATATATTCGGAGGGAGGGAGGGCAAGATGACGGAATTGTCGTCCAATAGCTATGAAGGTTGTGAATCCACATTGCTTGTTGTTGCGGGCTACACGCAGAGCCTGGACTTTCTGTGGTAACCTCCTCCGCAGGCACATCGCCCCGGGATTCGGGTGGTCGGAAAACGTTTGGCGAGACTTTCCCCAGAATTTTTTTCCAAAGCGGAGGAGGCTATTTCTGTGATTGTTTTATTCTTTCTACAAGCTAAGTAGTTATGCCGACAGTATTCCCCTTAAATCGCAGGATATATTCAGGCCTAAAAGTTTTTGCATTTCCAACAAACTGCACTCCACAAGGCCGTAGGAAGATCGATAGTTTTTTTTTTTTGGGGGGGGGGTCGTATTCATATATTCGTGTTCTGCATTATTCACTTCTTTTGACATCGATTGTTTTTACGGTCTGTAAACACGATTATAATATAGAGTTTGTACATTCTGAACGCTGATTGGCTAAGAGCCGTGTTGATATAACTCAATGTCAACACGGAAACGTCGGAAAATTTCTTTCTTTATATTTCTTTGTGCTATATAATAAAACATTTTTCCGTATTGATATATAGTTATATCAACACTCGTGGAAATTGGGAAAACTCGAAATTGTGTGAAAACACTCCTCCGTTCGAGCGTCGTGTTTCCACACAATTTCTCGTTTTCCCAATTTCCACTCGTGTTGATACAACTGTATATCAACACGGAAAATGTTTTATATTTGTTAAATATGAGCCCCCCCCCCCCAATTATTGATCTTCCTGCGGCCCTGTTCCAGAGCTCCTCGAAATTTTAGGATAAAGAAATACATAGCTCTTTTGCGTGATTCATTGAGCTCGAATACATCTCTGCCGAGGATTAGCTTCCTGGCAAACTCATCAACTTACAAGTAAAAACCTTTTGAAAATATCAAGCGAAGACTTCGTGCCAAGTAAACAAATTTGGAATACTAACTAAATTACAAAATTTTATGAACTACTAAAAACCAAAACGAATGGCATGCTATGATTTGAATGCACTCTAAAAACACCCTGGTTAAAAATTTTCCCAGTTAACCAAGAAATAACCCTATCTGGGATAACTCAGTATTCATGGTTAAATTCCCTGGTTATTTCTTACTTTCTACATTTGCCTGGTTAAAAATGTAACCAGGAATGTGTAAAATTGGCAAAAACCACGATGTTTAGTATTTACCATTTATGGTATTTTCCTGTGCGCAGGAAAAGAATAAAGGACCATTAATATGGAAATATTAAACATATTGCGGTTTGTACTAATTTACCACATGGGAATTTTTTCCCTTTGTTTACTAAGCTAAAAAACTAGTGTTAAAAGGAATAAAAATAAGGGGGTGTTCGCCACAGTTAAGCCATACCCCCCCCCCCCCTCCTCAGCCACTTTGGACAGTTTAGGACTCGTCCTCATCGCCACTGTCTCCCATCTTGAATCTTTTGGATTCCTTCAAACTCAGGTCATCCCCCTTAGATTTGTCATAATCTTTGCCATAGAAGAACTCCGCCCAAACCATGCAGTGGTCAGAGGGAACGCCTGGGACACTCTTACTGCTGTTACTGGGGATCCACTGGTGCGTTTGGTTTGCACGGCAGACACCTGCGAAGATAAGTACCATATATGATTTATTTAACCATACACGTCGACGAGTCTCCCATTAGGGCAAGTACAACGGCAACGTGGTCATCAACAATAGCATTGATCCTCAAAGGCGAATGTAAATTACATGGTCTTAAGCGTTGTGCAATGCCGTAGTTATTGACATTCAGAGGTGATAATTTCATGACAAATACGGACGCTTAATATGCAAATGTAGGAATCAATTAACATTGACTGAAACCTGAGCCTAACGAACGCTGAGCCCACCAATCATGCGCAAGATTAGTGATGACGCTGAGCCCAAACATAAGGTTTAGTGATGTGGCCAGGATTGAGGATTGCTTCAAGATCAGGTTTCAGTCCATGTTAACTGACTTCCTTAATTTGCATATTTAGCGTCCATAGGAGATGTGAAATTATAGCGGAAGCTGTATACTAACCAGAACGCCCGGTATACTCCTGTCTGTCAGCTCTTCCTGATTGTTTGATCCAGAGATTGTCATAGGTCATTGATCCGTCGAGACGCGTAGGACTGATGTTTGTATGTGTACCATCCTCAATGGCGTTCACAAATCCAGCCTCACGAAAATCATCGAATGCTAACATGCAACAAGAAATGATCACAGAATGAATCTCAGATGATGGACTTAATTTGCAGTACGTCAAATTATCTTGTACTGTAGTTCTTAATATGGTTTTTGAAAGAGCCCCGAGCCATTAGTTTCTGTACTAGGAAAATCAGAGACTCTGATATACTCATATTCACATAAATTCTTCAGAAATTTTGCGGAACTTTTTTTGCACCTTGAACAAAAAGTCTTACTCACATTTATCTGTTGGTGTGAGGTTAAAATCTCCTACAACCATGATGTCATCCTCGCCTTAAACAGAGATTGTAAAAGAGCATGTCAAAAAACCTCACCATGTTTACACACTACACAGTGGTATAGAATGGGGGGGGGGGGGGTTGTTATGTTTCGGGCTTGCTATGTTGCGGTTTGGGGAACTGATCTCCCAATATTTTTAAAGATTTTTTCAGATCGCATATTCATAACCTGGAGTTTTTCTTTAATGTACGGTTGAAATGATGCGGTAATGATGTTAGCAATCTGTTCTTGATTATGATAATACCATTAAGCTCCAACATGAAATAGCTTATATAGATTGCGGAATATCGCAATCTTTTATTTGAATTTAAGTCCTATCTTCATAAAACACTAATTGAAGAATTACTAGAACCAAAAATAAATCCTGGAACTTTCCATGTTTATCATGTTGCACCCACTGATCTAGTGATTGCACCCTCCACGCTTTGTCAGCTTTGCATCCCCCGCCCTTGTGATAATCTCAGTTGTGGTCGTTTTACACCACTGCGTTTACATCGTCTAAATATTTTAACCGATTTGACATCACTAGCAAAGCAGAGAATCAACCGTCCGAATGTATCAGAATAAGAGCTAGGCCCTACCTGGCATACTGTCTTTAATTGCTTCAAATATGTTAGGTATAGTATCAATTTCACCCTACAGGTAAACGGACATGATATAAGAATGCAATTAATAATTAGCCATTCCGAAGTTGATGAGAGGACAGGGGACGAGTGTTAAAAAGTGCCCAAATTAAGAAATGAACCAAATCAATAAAAAGACCACCTCAAAATTAGTATGTATACAAAGTTTGAAGACATTTACATGAATACCCTTCGAATAAGCTTTCGAAAATCGCGATATTTACTATGAAATGTACTGTCATTTTTGTTTTTAATTTGGGGACGCGCGTCCCAAAAACGTCCTTTTAAAATCAGCAATTTCACAATTTTCGAAAGCTTATTATTCGAAGGGTATTCATGTAAACGTCTTCAAACTTTGTATACTTACCTAATTGTGAGGTGGTCTTCTTAGTGATTTGGTTCATTTCTTAATTTAGGCACTTTTTAACACTCGTTTCCAGTCCACTCATCAACTTCGGAATGGCTAATAGGGCGGGGAAAACATTGGAGTGAGCCTGCAGCCGCTAGCCATGGCTGCCATGCATAAATTCAACATTCATTGCGAACCTTTTTGAAAGAGGTTATTTCGCGGGCCTCAGAGTGACAAAACGTAACAAAGCAACGGTTTTACTAACACTAACCCTGCTCCAAACACCAAATCTAACCCTAACCTAACCCTACTCCAAGTTTGTTTCTAAACCAATCTTAAAGAAAAAAATTTTGACGAAATGTCATTCTGAGGTCCGCGAAATAACTTTTCCCAACCTTTTTAGCATGCATGCATTATTAAACGTCACCTGTAATCGTTCAATATCTTCGTTTTCAAGTCCTGTTGCCTTCAAGTGAACACTGAGAAGGACGAAATCAAATCTATACACCTAAATAAAAGAGGTAGGTTACTCAAGAAGCTGCAGGCCTAAATTTTACATTTTTAGTAAAACTATAAAGAACTATTGTTATATTGAAGGCCGATTTACACTACATGCAACTTTTGCCTAAAACTGTCGCATGCAACCTGCTTACAACTTGAGTGGTACTGTGTACATCAAGTACACACAACTCGCGGCCTACGTTGTCGTAAGCGACTTGCGCTTGCTTGATTTACACAGGTTGCATCCGCTGATCTGGAAATACTAACCGGCAATCCCCCCCCCTCCCCCTCCCCGTCGAAGTGTTTATCTTATCTGGAGCAGTGGAAGTGGGCAAAAACATTTCATTTTCATTGTTTCCCACACACACCAACCTTGAAATATCCAATGAATGGTTTTCGTGCAAAATCTTTCTTCTCCCCTCTCTTTCTGCGTTGTTTTCGTTCCAATAAACCATGATCTTTCAGTTCAACATTACGACTTGTATCCCAGAGAAAGCCATTGCATTCAGATGCCTATATCATTGTCAAATTACACATACAAAATTTACCTTTCCCATACGAGAACGAGAGCGCATAGCGACTGAGAGTTGGCAGCAGGGGTCATCGGATGACCGTCATCCTAAGGAAAAAACTTCTATTTTTGGGCGGAAGGCACTTTTATACACCTTGTATAACTTAATACATCTTTCGTTAATGGTATGGAATCAAAGACAAAGGATGTAAAGTTGTCTAATTAATTTATTAAATGTCTAATTAAAACATGATTGACCCGGCGTTACCCTATACATTCTTCCGGCAACTTCTGACGTGATGCATTCCCATTTTCCTCGATGTCCTTTCCACAGTTTATGATTTGGAGTAGTTGGATTGTTCAGTTCGTCTCGTATCTTGGTAAAAACAAACACTTGCCAATGAGAAAGATTCAGATTGATAGAGATGCAATCACAGATAGCCCGATCGTATACTGTTTAGTATATGCATAGTAAATTATTTTAAACGAGACAAAATTTACCTTGTAAAAGAGAAAAATATATTTAAATAAACAACTTCACTTATCTCACAGACTCCATTATATTGTGCGTAGCATATTAAAGGTGATCTACAGTCCGTATGTAAACAAAGCCTTTGTTTACATTTTTGTGTCCAAAATATTGAGCTTTATTCGACAACTATTTATATTTTCAAGCTTCTAGAGTATAATAAATGATCAAGAAACAACAATCAGGCTTTTCAAGAACTCAAAACATAGTTAAAGTGTCTGTATCATAAAAAGTGGGCTCATTTGTGCACATGCGCAGATCGGACTGTAGATCACCTTTAAACGTGTCAAGGATTTTGTCTCGAATTTTATATTACACAAAATAGCCATCAGGCAAGTAAATTTGTTTATTTAACAGTTAAATACTCTTTTACAAGGTACATTTTGTTTATTTGGCTGCAGTCTTGAAATTGAATAAAATTCACAATGGAATAGGGTTTAGGAGTAAGAACTGACCGGCGCTAAACTGACTCGGCAGCCGTTCCGCACGTTGTAACCAATAATCTATTGGCGTTGTAAAGCCATTGTATGCAATAAAGTATTGGGTTGTAATGGTCTACGATTAAAATAACCCTAACCATAATCCCAACCTCTAATCCTAAAGTTGATGACCTTTTCTTAATACATATACAGAGTTATAACTAGTGTACCCACTTTTTGTGCGCATGTTCGGCTAGATGCATGCATCCCCATTGGATGGCGGCTCGCTTTAAATTAACTGCTCGCGGAACTTGCTGAGCACGCGCAGTTGATAATTTTTTTGCCCGGTCGCCTGAAAAAAAGTGGGTACACAAAAACGTAAGTTTCCGCAATTCAATGTTTCACCTGAGCTGTATGTATTTAAGATTCCACCTCTGTATGTATTTACTCTGTGGTTTGGGCCTACCGCCCAAAAAACTTGAGGGGAGCACATTGGCGTTTGAGCACGTAATATGAAATCATTATCCTAACATATCCCTTACCATCTCTAAAGCTCCCTCTTCGGCCAGCTCTTGTGCAGCAAGAAGGCTTATCCTAATGATTAACAGTAAACAGTGAAAAAGTATACATTGTGCTGAAATAGAATACCAAAATAAGATACGTCTTACACGTTTCTGCAACACATGACAAGTTTTAGTCCTCAGTCGTCTGTACATGTGTAAGCAACTTTGCCAATTTTTGCCGAGTCTGACAACCATATGAAAGGCTTGTCATAGAAAGTTTGCTACCGAATCTTTGCCAGAAACTATGGGACAGCTGCTGTAATTTCATACAATTTGAAAGGAATAGTGCCCTGTTCCCCCAGTTCAATGTTGAGCCAACAAAAATCTAATGTCTGGTTGCGAGGCGCCAACATTGAAACGGGTGGAAAAAAATGTATCAGGAAATGGTATATTACAACCGAATGCATGTGAAAACTAGATTGTCCCAATCTATATTGTCAAAGATTGTAGCCTGTAACTGGCTTTATATGTTTCTGCCAAAAAGACGTTGATAATCAACAATCAAGGATTCGTATTGAGGGATTTGTGAGGTTTTATAGAGTTTTGCAACATTATTTTTGAATACCGTTTTTAATTCAGTGTTTACAAACATATTCATAAAATAGCCTTTTAATTTAAACATAGACGCTGATTGGTCAAACCAGCGCGCTATAAAACACGGGTGGGGAGACGGAGATAGCGCCCCCCCCCCTGATCTATGTGTGATGCGCGTACCCCAATTTGGTATGTGTATGTGATACCGTGTACCCCAATGGTGGAACTTTTGACCAGGCAAACTTTTTCGCTGACCAATCACATTGGCAAGATTTGTTTTTCGCTTCGCGTCGAAAAAATTCACCTAGTGGAGAACGGGCTTAACTCTGTAGAAACACCGGAAATGTTTTACGCTTATACACACCCCGTCCCTCCCAAACATCATATTTTTAAGTCCTTTTGGCAGAAACGTATATTGGACCCATCAGGATTCCTTCATACACATTTATACTTGCTTATTCTGTCTTAAACCAAATAGTAACCAACAATCTGCCTATGTATTATGTATGCCGTTTTAAATACTGATTTCCAAATTTTAAACAGAACAATTTGCTACATTGCCTAGTCAAAGCACAAAGACTGCTTATGGGTGTAAACAACTCATAATCACTGTGCGAATCGGTCACCTGACGTCAAGCAGCGATCAAGGTCACTAGTTTTGAATACCACAAAATTGTTATGACAAGAGCATTTGCAACGTTTTTGCGATTTCTTATACAGCAAAAGTTCAATTCCATCCTAGTTCACCTAAAATTCGTTAATTTTAAACCCCTCACCCCTAAAATGCTGTAAAATTCTTGCATGTAAATTTTCGCGCCATCATACGACACAAACGAATTAATAATTCCATGTGCATAAACAACCTACACTACCTTAGGGCAACATTTAAATAATTTTGCCATTTGGGACTAAAACCTGTGTCGAAATAGACAACCTTGCGTGCTAACAAGGCTGTTTTAACTACGTATTTTTGAAGATATACTGTATATATGCATATTACGAATTTACGATCAACTTTAGGCTATCACCGCATGGAGTCATGCAACCTTTTATACACGATATATTCTCGCTCTCAAAATCGAAATCCAACCCCTGTAGAGCTAAGATTTACATCATACTTTCATAAAGCTTCGATATTTGAGTAGAAATCAACACAAACGCTCACCCATTTTCCAAAATAGTCATGCACATTACTTCTCTGATTCCGGGGTTGGCGGCTTTTTGCTTTGTGAAACTCAGCATGTTCCACGACCCTATTCGTATTACAGTCCTGCCTTTGTATTTGGTGGGCACTGCTTTCACTTGCTGTCGTTTCTCCACCGTCAGAGGCAGCCTAAATGCCTCTACAATGTCTTCAGGTCTCAAATCTATCTGTTCTGTTTCGCTTTGGTTCGCCATGATGGTTTGTAGCCAAACGAACTATTGACACTGAAGTGAAGAGTGACGCCTCACTGAACGAAGTTGATTTGCATTCGTATCTGGTGGTTACATGTTATTAGATTATTTATAGCATTTGTATAGGGCAAATAGTGCCTTTTTGTGTTACTGGGATTAAAGCCATTGTTTACCAAATATTCAATTAGAAATATAAAGCCGGGCAAAAATACGTTCCAACATTTCCAATCTAAATATACAGTATAATATCATAATTATGTAGAATCTTGCCCACTGTTGTAATCTTGCTCCAAAGTGCACTAAAATATGGCGTTGGCAGATCCTAAATTTCAAATTGTCTTCGGCGCTACCCATGAGGACCCTCATAAACTTTTTTAACTGGTCGAGTCAGTGTCCCGATCTTTGGCTCATCGGCCAGTTTATAATAGTATATACCTGTAAACCACATAGAAATCATAAGTATAATTCTGTAGTTATAATCACCGCCACTGGCTTCTAAAATGGGCTATTCCATTTAATATCCGTACACCCCCTGTCGAGGATACATGTTTTTTATGGTTATACCCCTGAAGAATTCCAAGCTCAAAACCTTTTACCCCTGAAGAATTCCAAAATTCCAAGCTCAAAACCCTTTACCCCTGAAGAATTCCAAGCTCAAAACCTTTTACCCCTGAAGAATTCCAAGCTCAAAACCCTTTACCCCTGTAGAATTCCAAGCTCAAAACCCTTTACCCCTGAAAAATTCCAAACTGAAAACCTTTTACCCATAGGCGTACCGGGTGGGGGGGCGGGGGGGGGGCGGCAGCCCCCCCAATTTTTTGGGCAGTCGGGCAATATTCGATCAATAGTCGGGCAATTTTGGTTTGCAATAAAAAAATGGGACAAATTCAGTCAATTTTGTCTAAAATTAAGTCAATTTTTTGGCAAATTATGTGATTTTTTGAAAATTTGTGTTATGTTCTGAAAAATTTTGGTTGTCCGGAAAATTTTTTTGACCCCTAAAATGGTACACTGAGCGAAATTTTTTTGGCGACGTGGAGGTCGCCAAAATAATTTTTGGGTACTAGTCGGGCAGAATCCCGAAAAGTCGGGCAATTTTCTTTCCGCCCCCCTAATTTTTTCCTTCCGGTACGCCCATGCTTTTACCCCTGAAGAATTCCAAGCTGAAAACCCTCTACCCCTGAAGAATTCCAAGCTCTGAAAAATTTCAAATAGAACCTCCTTACCCCTGAAGAATTCCAAGCTCAAAACCCTTTACCCCTGAAGAATTCCAAGCTCAAAACACTTTACCCCTGAAGAATTCCAAGCTCAAAACCCTTTACCCCTGAAGAATTCCAGGGATCCTCGACAGGGGGGGTACGGATATTAAATGGAATAGCCCAATGTTGTATTTCGCCTAATTTCGGCTGATGAGAAAGATCGTGACTCAATCTTTACAATTTCTGCAGGCTTTACTTTTTTTATGACAAAACCACCGGCACCGAATTGTCGAATCGTGTTCGGTGTGTTTCGCCCATGTTAACGACCTTGTTTACTCGAAACCGGTTTTTGCACAGGGGGTCCAACTAAGAGCTGTGTTATGAATATGAATAAAACATTAATTAAACGTAATATGAATAAAACATCATAACGTAATATATTTAAATTATTGCACTTACTTGTATAAATCATAAGAGCTTGTATTTGCAGTGAATAGCTTTTAACAGGGCGCTTATACACGCTCAGAAAATCGCTCAGAAACATTTTAATTCGAACGATTGTTCAAATATGGCGAATAAATTGACAAAACGAAAATATTACATGACGTTCCAACGAAAGTAACAGCAAGGATTGCGGGCGCGAGCGGAAAGGCGAGGGAAGAAATAAATAGAAGGGATGAAACAAATATCACGTGACTTTTTAAAATGCTTCTAGACTATCCGTTTAAGCTTTTTGTGGGGTTTTTAAGGCTCAGTCGATGTTCTCTTACATGAACAAGCCTAGTCATTACCAAAAAAGCACTGATCAATCTAATTTATGTGATTTATAACAGCGAGCATTCTTGGCCATTATCGCGAGATGTGTTCCATAAGTAGCCTGTTCTCGTGATGTATGACGAAATAATAATAAAACTAAATAATGTAAAAAAAACCGTTGGTCGCTACATTTAAACATTTCATATTAGCCGGTATAGCTAAACATTGTTTATTTTCATTAATTAAGCGCTTAGGCGTTGTTGGAGTTGGCAGGAGGCGTTTTGGAATTTTCCGAGAGAACAGGCTACTTATGGAACACATCACACGATCGCATTACCGGTGTTTCATCCCTTCTATTAGAGACCTTAAGATTGACGTTTACGGCAAACGTCAAACCGCTAGCGAAGTTTTTGATTTTACAACTCTATTATTATAGCTTTTACACCAGTTTTGAAATATGTTAAACTTATTAAACTTGTGCTCTTTATCAATGATTTAAAGAAAGCAAATTAACCACTAGTCATGCCATTCACCAAAGCAGTAAATTAAGATTTGGCGTTTGAAGTTGACGTTTGGCGTATAAATTTCATGCTTGAACTGCTACGAGGGCTTGTAGTCGTTAAAGCATGAAATTTATACGCCAAACGTCAACTTCAAACGCCAAATCTTAATTTACTGCTTTGGTGAATGGCATGACTAGTGGTTAATTTGCTTTCTTAAATCATTGCTAAAGAGCACAAGTTTAATAAGTTTAACATATTTCAAAACTGGTGTAAAAGCTATTATAATAGAGTTGTAAAATCATAAACCTCGCTAGCGGTTTGACGTTTGCCGTAAACGTCAATCTTAAGGTCTCTAATAATGATCATGCACGTACGTGTGCGATATTTACATATTTCATATTTGTTCTGGACATACATTTGTTCTGGACAACCTTATCGGCAATGACGGTATATATATATATATATATATATATATATATATATATATATATATATATATATATATATATATATATATATATATATATATATATATATATAACTTCTTTGGGTACTTATAATGTAGAATAATGAAAAAAAATTTCTCGAACTCAAATTTTGTAAACCAGGGGCGTGTGTCTTTTCCAACAAATTAAAAATGGCTTCAGCACGAGATTTAAGAGTGAATGTCAGTAAAAATCGAACATATGAGATATTTCGCGGCCACGACTGAAAAATCGATTTTGCTCAAATTTTGCCCAGATATACCTTATTATATCGGAAAATGCACCATATATTTTTTTAGGTCAAATGCTTTTTTAACTTTGAGAAAATGCCGTTTTAACACGTCCACCCTAAATCGCCATTTTTCTGGGAAAATATGCGCTGATTTTACAGATAAATTTCACGACGACAACCGTTTCTAATCGATCTAAAACCCTAAAAATCTTGTTTTCGGTTATTCAAAGGACTGTGTACATAACTTACAGGAAATCTGAGTTACTTTTAGGAATAGAAATAATCGTAGTTTTGGAGCACACTATCTTACTTCATTTACGATACCCTCTTAACAAAATCGATTTTCACCATGCGATAAAGCTCCAAATCGATCATGCTTCTACTAGTTGGCTCTTTAATAAACAAGCTTTCAATTGACGTAAATGCTTCTTTTGGCAAATAAATACGCGATAAACGACAGCGCGTTGAAATCTTCCGTTTTTGACGTCTTGCAAGTCAAACGCTGTTAATTTATACACCGTCGAAGTAAACAATTTAATCAAGTATTCTAAGTATTTTACCTTTCGAGAAAAAACATATTCTTGAATGGGGACTTTTCGCTTTGCTAAGTTTAAAAGTGGTCCAGAAATCCCAGTACATTTGTAAAAAAATCATCAAACATCCAGTATTTTGAGACATTGTTGACGGTTGCATGATAACTTCAGATCATTATTCAACGTGATCTACGACCCGGCCGTTTGACTTTAGCGCTAACATATACAAATCGATGAGCTATTTAAGGATTATATTTGCTACTAAATTTCCCAAAAGAATTGGAACTACAACTGCTGTTTTCAGAGGTTTTGATCCATTTTGTCCATATTAATGTACCATTTTATTTATCGACTGATGTTTACAAATACGTAAGTTAATTATTAAGCAGCTGTTAGCGTGCGTGTACATGTGAAATGAACGTTTATAATGTTTATCCATATAAGGAGTTTTTATTTTTAGTTTACCAGCCCTTATATTTGAATAGTCGTTTTCTTTCAAGTTGTTTTCTTTTTTATACTCTGCAAAGTTGATTCCGAAATGTTAAGGTATTCGAAAAAACTATCGAACTTTTCCATGATATTTACAGAGAAACGTCACAGCTGTAAACCCCCTCCCCCACCTCCAAAACGAACATATGACGTTTCTTGTGGAAAAAATCGATATGTGAGGCTTCCCTAAACTGCAAGGTTTACACTATTGATCTCATTAAAATCCCACAGACCACAACGATTATACGTATTGATTGTTTCTTGACGATAGTAGACGCGTACGTGCATGTTGCGGAAGAGGTTATTTCGCTGGCCTCAGAGTGACAAAAGGTACCCTGGTTCTAGAGGTTTAAAATAATAAACCTCTGTTTGAAAGCGGCAATTAATTCATCGAGCCGCGCCAATCAGCTTGAATTAGAGTAGATAGTTATGATAAGACAAGGGCGGCGCCAGGGCCGCCCATGCAGGGAGGCGGCAAAGGGAGCAATTTTCTCCGCGACCCCAGCTCAAGGAAGACAGGCAAATACAAATTTGCAAGGCGATAAAAAGTTTGTCGACGGAGGGGGGTAATTGTGGTTCACCGGGGCCCCAAGGGTATAATTGGCCCTGGGGCCCCATATTTCACTGAGCTGGTTTGGGCTGCGCCAGTATTTCTCCGACGGGGGGAGTCATCAGTGCTCTCTTTTGATCTTTGTCAATTGGCATTAAAACCGCAAGAACTACCGACAAGTGACCAGGGCCGGATTAACGTCGCGCGAGGCCCGTGGCAAATTTTAGCGCGAGGCCCCCAAACCTCCCCCTTTCTTCTTTTTATGAAAACCATTGAATTTAAAGACACACAAAAGTGTTAAATAATTTTTTTCAATATTTCAATTTATTTGCATCAATTATAAACGAGATAATTGGCCTGCCTGGCGCAGTTGGTAGGTATAAACAGGATCATAATATAACAGCTCAACGCAACTAGAGATTATATGAAGACGAGTATTGCATATTTTCCCGGGGCCGTGCTAGGGCGAACTGCCAAGCCTAGGGGCCCTAAATGCGCGAGGTCCCTAAATTCGCGAGGCACCTAAAATGGGTGTGTCCCAATAGAAAATGGCCGTGTTCTCGTAAAAATGGGCGTAGCACAGTAAAGCGCGAGCATAGATATAGGAGATCGCGAGGCCCGCGGCATTTGCCGTATTTGACACGTGGTTAATCCGGCGTTAAACGAGCAACAAGCTTTCATTTTCTTTAAACGCGACGTGTGGGGAGGCAATAATAATTTGTGGTGTCGCACTTGGCCAACATATCTCAATGCTGTATTTTTGGGTCCTAGTACTTGCGAAATATAATAAGATCAATAGACATTAGTGTATCAAAATAAAGTAATTTTACTGATTATTTTAACTGTGCATCAAAGTAAACACACATTATTCTAAACTACAGTATTTGCTATATGCCTATAATTTGAGTTTGAGGTGGTAGAATATATAATAAAATAACAAATCCTTGTATGGATAAATGTTCATTTCACACGCACGCTATTAACAGCTGCTTAATAATTAACTTATGTATTCGTAAACATTTATACTCGATAGTCGATATGTAAATACTAAATGGTACATTATATGGATCAATGCAAACTGGAACAAAACAACAATTGTCAATTGAAGTTCTAATTTTGGGAAATTTAGTAACAAATATAAAATCCCTAAACAGCTCATCGATTTGTATGTTTGCGCTATTAAAAGTAGACAATATTGAACAATGATCTGAAGTTGTCATGCAACTGACAACAATATTATATTTCAAAATACCTGTATATATGATGATATTTTACAAATATCTCGGGATTTTTGGACCAATTTTAAACTAAGCAAGGCAAAAAGTCTCCATTCAAGAATATATCTTCTTCTCAAAAGGTAAAATACTTAAAATACTTGATTAAATTGTTTACTTCGACGGTATATAAATTAACAGCGTTTGACTTGCAAGACGTCAAAAACGGACGATTTCAACGCGCTGTCGTTTATCGCGTATTCATTTGCCAAAAGAAGTATTTACGTCAATTGAAAGCTTGTTTATTAAAGAGCCAACTAGTAGAAGCATGATCGATTTGGAGCTTTATCGCATTGTGAAAATCGATTTTGTTAAGAGGGTATCGTAAATGAAGTAAGATAGTGTGCTCCAAAACTACGATTATTTCTATTCCTAAAAGTAACTCAGATTTCCTGTAAGTCATGTACACAGTCCTTTGAATAACCGAAAACAAGATTTTTAGGGTTTTAGATCGATTAGAAACAGTTGTCGTCGTGAAATTTATCTGTAAAATCAGCACATATTTTCCCAGAAAAAATGGCGATTTAGGGTGGTCGTGTTAAAACGGCATTTTCTCAAAGTTAAAAAAGCATTTGACCTAAAAAAATATATGGTGCATTTTCCGATATAATAAGGTATATCTGGGCAAAATTTGAGCAAAATCGATTTTTCAGTCGTGGCCGCGAAATGTCTCATATGTTCGATTTTTACTGACATTCACTCTTAATATCCAAATCTGATCATTAATGGTGCATTTTATTACCT